TGGACTAGATCCTCCGGATATGGCCCAAGCTCCATCAGGAACCTCTCCGGGTCCATCAGGCGCCTGGGACGGAACCATCTACGCAGTTCCGTCTCCCTGCGGCGGGGGGAAGCGGTCCGGAAATCCATCCTAAGGAGTGCATGATCTGACCATGACAAGGGCTCTATAACTACCTCCCCCATTTCCAGATCATTCTGCCACTGGCCAGAGACGAAAATTAGATCTAGTGTATGTCCTCCCGTGTGAGTGGGGGCATGAACTAATTGGGTCAAGTCCAAGGTCGTCATGGAAGCCAAGAACTCCCGAGCTGCCGCTGACGTTTCGCCTGCCGATGGCAGATTGAGATCCCCCATGACTATAATTCTGGGGGTCTCCACCGCCACCCCGGCTATTACGTCAGCCAGCTCAGGCAGGGCCGTTGATACATAGCAGGGGGCCAGGTATATAATCAACAGGCCCACTTGCACCCCTTGCCCCCACTTCACAAGGAGGGACTCTGCACTGTCTATCTGAGGCACAGTGGTCTCCCTCGGACATAGGCTCTCCCTTATAATGACCGCTACCCCACCGCCCCTGCCCCGGGCCCTCGGTTGATGGAATTTTTAATGCTAATGATCATAGCAGTAATTCAATGTGATTACTGGGGGGGAAAGGCTAAAATATTCAGCCACTTTTCTATATTTTTGCAAGGTTTGGGGAAGATTAAAAGCTTAACAAAGCTATTTCCTTTTCTTTTAAATAGAAAAATGAAACTATCATAATTTGCCATTTGGCCACTGAATGTTAGGACTATAATTTGTAAATAAGAATCCACAAAATAGGGCTGCATGCCACATATCTTTCTCTCCCCTTCCTAGGACATTCAGGTCGATGGTTTAACAAAAAATGGAACTGAAGATTTCATGAACTTTTCAAAATAGCCATTTCACTATCAAATGTATCTGGTTTAATCATACCAACACTCGATAATCAAAGGCTGATTCACCAAGTCCCAACATACTTATCTAACTTATATAGCCCCTCGTGTCACAAGGAAGTGACTCTGGGCAGAGCATTCCCTTCTCTCTTTCTTAATAGCTTTCGGGGCAGTACAGTTCTGTATGTATCGGTGTGAGAGTGAATGTACACACGCTCATGTGTGTATAGGCAATCCTTGCTGACTGACCATTTGTTCAGCAACTATTTGAAGTTGTGGCTGTTGCAGTGTCCCCATGTCACATAATCGTAACTAGCATGCTAAGTCAAGAACATAACAGAATAACAGAAATGGAAGGGACCTTAGTCCAACCCCCTGCTCAAGCAGGAAACCCTATACCAGGGGTGTCAAACTGCCGGCCCGCAGGCTGGTTGCATCATGCAGAGGCCGCGCTCACCCCAGCTCCGGCAATGCGAAAAAAGTCACGATACGTCATGACATGTGACATGACGAGTTTGACACCCGTGCCCTATACCATCTCAGACTAATGATTGTCCAATCTCTTCTTAAAACCCTCCAGTGATGGAGCACCCACAACTTTTGGAGGCAAGTTGTTCCACTGTAATTGTTCTGTCAGGAAATTTCATCTTAGTTTTAGGTTGCTTCTCTCCTTGATTGGTTTTTCATCCATTGCTCCTTGTCCTGTCCTCAGGTGCTTTAGAGAATAGATTGATCCCCTCTTCTTTGTGGCAGTCCCTTAGATATTGGAACACTGCTATTATATCACCCCTAGTTCTTCTTTTCATTAAAGTAGACATACCCGATTCCTGCAACCATTCTTCATATATTTTAGCCTATGTCCACGCATATGTCCTGTCCCCTAATCATCTTTGTTGCTCTTCTCTGAAATCTTTCTAGAGTTTTAATGTCTTTTTTATATCACAGCAACCAAAACTGAATGCAATATTCCAAGTGTGGTCTTACCAAGGCACTGTAAAGGGGTACTAACACTTCACGTGATCTTGATTCTATTCCGTTGTCATTACATTGCATTGCAATTTCCTGAAGTCACATCATCACTATCTGAGAGCTTCCCAGCCAGATTTCCATCAGCAAAGTCAATGGGGAAGTTGTATGTCGCAGTTATGTGACATTGTGCTTAATAACCCACACTTAACAATCACAGCCAGAACTGCCATCATAAGTCAGGCATGGTCACATGAGTTTTCATTTTATAATCACATCACTTAATAAAGGAATTGACAATCCCAATTGCAGTTGGTTAGTGAGGACAGATTTGTATCCAACTCTTTTAATATATAGCTCAAGACTTGGAACATACTTAATGCTCTTGTCTCCATTCTTCCCCACAACAACCACCCTGTGAAGTGGATTGGGCTCAGAAGGAGTGACTGGCCCAAGGTCACCCAACTTTTATTCCTAAGGGAGGCCTAGACTCAGAGTCTCCTTGTTTCTAGGCCAGCACGTTCACCACCACACCAAGTTATTCATATCAGGATTTTTAAAAATGTGTTCTGAGGAACCCTAGGATTCTTCAGATTGTGATGGGGTTTTGTGTAAGCAGAGGGTTAAAAAAACAAATACACTTGAATATAATCAATTTTCTGTCACTAGAGTTTTGTCTTTTAATCAGAGGGTCCAGGACAGTGGTGGCGAACCTATGGCACGGGTGCCAGAGGCGGCACTCAGAGCCCTCTCTGTGGGCACACGCGCCATTGCCCCAGTCCTAGGCCTTCAGCTGGGTTTTATAAAACCTTTTCGCTTTAGGCCTCTGCCACCGTGTGCAAAAAAAAAAGGTTCAATCAGTCAATTTCAACTTCTCGCTGGGAAAAAAAAGATCTTGCAAAGTTGAAATTGATTGAACTTTTTAGTCCCACCCAGTCTGCCATTACCACCACAGCCACACCCACCCAATGGGCCACACCCAGCCAAAGGGCCACACCCACCCGGCACTCGAGGATGCATAAGTGGGTTTTGGGTTGCAGTTTGGGCACTCAGTCTCTAAAAGGTTCGCCATCACTGGTCCAGGATGTTTTTAACTAACAAGGTTGCACAGTTTGAAAAAGTTTGAAAACCACATATTTCTATAATAAAATCTAGAAGATAAAATACCGTATATTTATTACATGTCTATCTTTTTCATGGAAGTTGGAATAATTTATCACATTTACTTTACAATATACAAAATAATAATGGGACTAATACATATTTGGCTAATCCAAATATCTTCGCATTAAATATTTTTTTATTATTAATTTTGGTTAAGCTAATAAAATTTAATTATATTTAATCCCTCTCTCTCTCTCCATTTAATGTACTAAATTTAATTTATCATTCACTGAAAATGCAACTGAAGAATGGAATTAGGATTCAGTTGTAAATGAGGCAAGGATAAGATTATTAACTCACTTGAAATGTTGCAGGATGTTTGAAATCAGGCATTTTATTTTTATTATTTTAACATATCGTTATGCAAATAGTTATTAATAGCCTTGTGTATCATCTCCAAATAAGATAATGGAAAGTGTAAGATCATGCTTGACAGCTGTTATTCATGCTGCAGTGCAATTACAGTCTAGATATCATGGTTACATCTATATTTTAATTTATTGTTGCAGATAGATGATAGATAGATAGATAGATAGATAGATAGATAGATAGATAGATAGATAGATAGATAGATAGATAGATAACAGAAACATGCATCTATATAATCTTATGTACGTGTTGCTTAATGAATTTATTTAAGAATACTACTTACAAAATATTAGATTAGAAAAAGGATGGGAGACATATTTTATTGAACAATATATAGATATCTATTCAACCCTTTTAATACATATGGACCAGTTACAATATTTAAAGTCAGTACATATTGATTAATGCAAGTATACCGTTATATAAAAAAGATATCCTATGTCAAGGTTGTTGGAGAATGTCCAAGTTTCTACAAACTCATTCTAGATCCTTTTCTTCACATTTCATCAAACAATCAATCAATAAAAAGATATTCATTCAAGACTCTGTAATTGGCTAACAAATACAAGAATATCATTTTGCAAAAGCAACACAAGAAACCATGACAAAATGCAGAAATGTCATGCATTTAAAGAGATTTCCAAGTGGACTAAATTATCCAGTCAGCTGCTAAACAAACTCTAGCTCTAAACATGGCTTCAACAAAATTGGAACCTACATACACTGAAGGCTGATAATTTTCCTCTGAACTAAAATTGTTATACAATTTTTAATAAGTGAAATTAAATATGGGATAAGGAAAGAGTTTCTCTGGTTTTAAAAATATTTCTGATTTTATTATATTTTTATCGTTTTTAGGGTTCTTTATCACATTATTCTAATAACTTAATTATTTCAAAATGTAGTGTGGAATATGATGCATCAGATAGAAAGTTAGACTAAAAACAGATAAATTCAAGCTTAGATCCAGTCTCAGCTATGAAAACCTATTGAATAATTTCAGGCCAATCACCTCCTTCAGTTCTATCTACATCATTAGATTAAACTATATTTGTTGTTGAAGGGGAAAACTGAATAAAAGAATATTATGTTGGTTATCTTGAGCTCTCAGGTGACAGATGGAATAGAAATCAATTGAAATACATAAAATAGAGCAAAAAAATAATAATTTAAATTGGATAACCAAAGCACTGACCTGTACAGGCTCAGGAGTAAGTTGGACAACATGCTGCATACGTTCGCTGTGATGATGCCGAGATTCTTCTTCATAGATGAGATCCCTCTCATGTTGGGGAAGATTCAAAAATCGCCGAATGGTGCACAGATTTTCCCAAAGTGTTCGATTTTCAGGGCTTGGGTTTTCTTTCCAACGCAACAGCTCACACAGCCAACCCTGCAAAGTAAGTAAGTAAATAAATAAATATATCAATACACATGCACTGTTAAGCAGTAATATAGTAGTTCAATAGCAATCTTGAGTGCTACTGAAAAACAGTTTTTTCCAGATTGTTTACTGCAATGTAGGTAACTAATTTTAGTGTTCTGAGATGGGAGAAGGGGAAATTTAATCTCATATTTTTTGCAGTAATTATGAATGAAAAGATATATGCTAACATAACAGAATTTGGAACCAAGGTAAGAAGACTTTGAACAATGGGAGTGGGGGCAAAAACAAAAAGTATATCTTATTGCTAATTGCCAGGTGTCCAGTGCCACAGATATACCTTATTGTTAGGGCTCTTTACATATTTTTTCTTCACATTCACAATAATATTTCTTCTTTTAATATTATAGTATATTTATGGGCTGTCAACCTATGCCTTCCATGGTCCCTGTACTAAGTATATATACAGTATTCATAAACCTGAAACTCTGACAGATGAAGGTTCTCTATAGGGAAGAAAACTTCCCTTCAGCTTCAAACTTCCTCCAGGGCCATCCTTCCAGCCTCACTTACCAAATATCTTGCTTTTCAGTTCCCTCCCCATTCTGAAATATACAGTAAATTGGGAGGATGTACCTATTATCATTCTTTGACTAACGGTTCTAATACCCAATCATGATATCCAGACCTGCTAAAACCTGGGATAGAAATAGCTTAAATGAATTAAAGAAATGTGACAAATTAGCAGGGCACAAGGGTGAGACACAGAATTCACCTAGCATTTTAGCAATAGCGTAAAACAACATGGAACCCATGCAAGCTCTACCTTCAAATATTTTAAAATGTGATGTTGACTCATGGTATCAGTCACAGGATCACTACAGCCTGCAATTGATCTAGAACAGGGGTATCAAACTGCCAGCCCATGGGCCGGTTGCATCATGCGGAGGCCATGCCACCCCAGCTTCGGCAATGTGAAAAAAGTCGCGATACGTCGTGACACGTCACGTGATGCAGTGAGTTTGACACCTGTGATCTAGAAAATAGGCTAATAATGTAATAAAAGGAAGGAATATAAAGGTTGTTTATTTGCTCAAAGTTAAAATATATATGCTGATATCTCTGAGAACTCTTAATGGATATTTTGCTGACCAGGACTGAATGAGGAGACATCAAGGATTTGTTTATAGATAAGATCTGAGATATGGAAAGAAAGAGATCATTTGTTGTATTTTAAGAGAATGTGATAAGTTACTAAAATTGTTTATACTTATTGTGATAAAGAGGGAAGCCACTTCTTTATATATTTTTTTCTTAATATATCTTTATTTTTTCTTTAATATATCTTTACTTTTTCTTTCTTTTCTATTTTACTTCTATTTCTCTGTACTTTCTATTTCTTCTTTTTCTTCTTTTAGTTTTTAAGTTTGTATTAGTTTTTTATATTTTTACTTGTAATGCTAACAACTGCATAATATCATGTGATTATTTGCCTAACTCTCCACTGCATCTTCTGCCTTTATCTCCCCCCCCCCAAAAAAAAGAAGAAAGAAAAGCAAGATTTGATTATCTCCGCTGCATCAGCCAAGACAGCCATACCAGCTGTTCTCATTGTGCAGCCTCTTCCTCACGGCCTACATGTTAATAACCTGATCATTCCATTTTCTCCTTCAACTGCCGGCTGCAGCACAGTGAGGAGACAAAAAGCCAGGCCCATCTGCAGCAGCTGTAGCCACTGAACTGTGAAGCCACGAGGGATTTATAAACTAATCTGTAACACAACACTGCCTTGTTTTTACAAGTGAGAGGCCACAGTTGTGCAGACCTGATCTTTTCTTGCAATAGCTAGGAGTGGTGGGAAATGAAAAGAAGATATCTAATCATTTACTTGGAATAAATATCTGCATTTACTATTCTACATGGTACGTGGCTAACCACAGAATCAGGTGACTCCCACATTCTCTTCTCCTCACACAAAATCCCATGTCTCTTTAATAATAAAGCAACAAGCAAACAGACCTTTAAAACTCTCAGCTCTAAAGTATTTTCTCAGGGGTCCTTCCATACAAAAGATTTTTTTTTTTGAAATGTAAAATAGAACATGGAAGGGAGGAGTATTTCTTCCTGCATTCTTTTTGCTGATTCCCACTGAATACATACAAACTATTTGAACAAGTATGGCTTCAACACATTCCCTTGGAAAACTGTGGCCCCAGACTTGGTTTCAGTTTCTGCTTTTTTCATATTTTTTCAAAGGCTGAGAAACACCCTAGAATTGCTCCAAGTCTACATTTTGAGTGATCTTGATATCTTCTGGCCTGAGGTTGCTGTTGCCTTTTCAAAATGTTTAGCTTGAAAAGAGAGATGTGACAGATGACATCTCTCCTCTTCCTTATGATCTTGGAATGTTTCATGCAACACTCAGCTGCATTTGATTGATATCTACTCCTATAATCTGCACTCATTACCAGCACTTAGCTTGACACTACAGGTCTCATTATGGACGGTGTGCTCTCTGCCATTATACTTTAAGTAGCATCATTTTAATTTGACTGGCACCTTGCAAGGTCCTGACCATGAAGCTATTAAGAAATGAACTAGACTGCCATGTGACCATGTGTGCAACACATGAGCAAACCAAATTAATTTCTGGCACAGGAAGTTAGCAGGCAAAGGTCCCATCCTTAGGACACCAGAAAATGACTTGATTCCCCTGTGGAAATACGCTAATGGCATATTTAGCAAAGCTTAGTTCTGAAGGTAAAGCACATTCTTGTTATTTAGGGAAAGAGAAATCCAGTTTCCCCAGAAACTGTTTGCTTGACTGATCAGATTAAGGGATCTAGTCTTCTACAGCCTGGGCAAGCATGTGCACAAATCACAGCAGGACCCAAGAAATCTATGATACTTCATAGCCTCCGACATATTGCACCATGTATACCCAGCTGCTACAATAATTAGCTTATGAATGTATCAGCTGGTTCTGCAATTTTTATAAATGATAACTAACCTACAGAGCAGAAAGATTTTCATAAGCCTAATATTAGCAAGAAATTGCTTAAACCCTCTTAACTCTAAAATGTTATTGTGCTAAATTCCCTCTTCATGCTTGCAATTTTATACCACGGTAGTACTCCCTCCCTCCATATTTATTTGGCATCAACAATGGCAATTCATTTATATTAACGTCTTTCACAAAAAGCTATTATCTAGCTTCTTTTTCACAAGCTATTTGATATTTTTTTTCAACAAATCTACCTTTCATTTAAGCTCTCAATCTATTTATTCAAACAGTATATCACTCACACATTCAGGATCATATACATTAACAACCAAAAAGGTTTCAAGTGCCATGAGAGGCTACTATTGAAAACATTGTATAATGGAACTACGAACCAAGACACACAATTCCGTACCAAGAAATTACTATCAAGAGAGAAGTTTAATGTGCACTGCAGTGTTTCTTTATTATTATTGAAATAATCTTACTGTGCTATCTGAGAAAGTTTTTCAGTATGTTGCAAAAAAAAGTGTAAATGTCAAATAAAACAGTGACAGATGATGACAGTATTCTCTATTGAATAGCACCGTTGCTTCGTGCATGTTCGATGAGAACTCATGAATTATTAATAAATAAACTCCTTTTTATGTTTAAAAAACCTCAAGTAGTTGTGTGATTTATTCAGGGAGGTTATAGCAAAGGGAAACTGAAAATTCCAAAACTGACTTCTGTGTTAAAAACACTGATACTAAATTTCACATAGATAAAAGTATTGACATAAGACTGATGCTAAGGACTACCTGGCTAATATCCATCCTTTCCCCCCCCCAGACCATATTATCTGTATTGGGAATAAAAGTAGATTTAAAACAAGCTAGAAAATGAAAAAGGTGGCTGAAAGAATAAAAATAAAATAAAACCTGGTGTTTGTTCACTGTACCAGAATTTTTCAATAGTAAATAAAGGGAAGGGGTTACCCCATTCCTTTGCTAATGTAAGTTAAACTACTCCTGTCCAGGTTCAATCCCAGGTTTTTAATTTTAAAACTGTGCAGGAAATTGACGATCAGAAATCTCTCTTTTATAATGAAAATAAGAGAGAATGCAGTGCAGGCATTCTCTTCTACATATCCCTGGACACTGTCTCTTCAAAAATCCACCAGTATATTTAAGATAAAATCAGAATGCTTTCTAAAAATATTATGCCAAAGTGAAGATGTTATGGGACACTTATTTTATTGTTGCTCCTCACTTTATCCATTATAAATAAATGAATCCACTGTTGGGAAAGCCTACCATCTGATTAAAAACAGCCAAAAGCCCAACTGTATGTAGAACTGAGTCTCACTAAGCTCAGTAGAATTTACTCATACACGAGTGTGTCTACAATGGCATGTTGATTCAAATCAGTAGCTATACAAAGATACTGCCATGGATGGAAAAAGGAGAATGTATCTTCTAAACTGAAATTTTAAAACTGAAATTTCAAAATCATTTTTAAAAATTTCAAGTCTGCTTTCTGATTAATTTTTGGTCTCTTTTTAATATATATTAATAAATTAAATATTGGAGCTCTATTTTTAAATCAGTATTGCTTAAAATATCACGCTTGTATTATGGCCAGTAGTTGCAATAAAACACTGATTAAGATAGGATGGAAAACTCATGGGAAGAAAAGGTTGTCCATGTAATCAGAAAATACATTAGGTTGGGTATAGTAGTCCTAACATCTACCAAATTTAATCAGTTTTAATCTAATGTACTGTAATACACTGCCTTAAAGTATTGAGTTAATAATGCTAATACCAGATTATCTATTAAAATAAAATTAAGCAAATGGTAAAATCTGTTTCTGTAACTTATGGAAACATTTCAAGAAGTACATAAAATACATCAAGCAAATAAAAGTTGTGTTTCCTATACAGTTACGAGATTGCAAAAAACTCAGTTTGTAATTTTTTTGGGACACAATTTTGTCAATAACCACAGTTTCTTGTATTTAAAAAATT